ATGAATTTTATAGTCCTTGAAAAAACAAACATTTCTTTTATACTGATTTACTTACAAAATTTATATACATTGTTTTTCACACCAGATCTTTCCCATTTCCTTTACCCACCCCTCACTCTACCCATCAAATTGTGTGACCCTGTGTTATCATCCTGCCCATCCTCAGCTCTCTGCTCCTACCCTCCCCTGCTCAGATCTTCATACACACTTTATTAGATATCTTTCTCCTTCTATAATAACGGTTTTATACAGTATTTGTCTTTATGAGACTGAGTTAGTTCACTTAGCTTAATGGTCTCCAGTCCCTCCCAAGTTAGGTAGTGATTTTCAAAATCATTGCTCCTGCATGTTGTATAGTATTCCATCCTGTGAATGTACGTACCATCATTTCTCAGTCCATTACGTTGTGATTGGACATTGGGCCTATTACCATGTTCTTGCGGTGGTGAATAACACTGCTATGAACATTGATGTATAAGTCTCCATATATGCCTCAGTTCCTATCAGTGGAATACCTAGGTCGTATAGAATTTCTGTGTTCAGTTGTTTTTGAGGAAACACCAGACTGCCTTCCACAGTGGTTATACCATTTTAAAATCCCACAGTGTGTTTTTTGCTTATTTTTTTAAAAAAATACAACTCTTATTCATTGCCGTTGAGTCAGAACTGACTCATAGCTGACCCTGCAGAGAGATTTTAGAGCCTGTAAATTTCCTAGGAGGAGATTATTCATCTTTGTCTTGCAGAGTGGCAGGTAGATTTGAACTGCCAGCCTTTGTGTTGGCAGCACAACTTTAACGTTTAAAAAATAAGTTAAAGAATATATCTCTGGTAGGTTCAAGTTTGAAATGTGTTTTCTTTTTTTGAACAAATGTTTAAAAAAGAAAAAAAAACACTTTCTCCCAGTTTTGCAGTGAGTTCTTACTAGTAGGTAACTTTATGTACTCTCTGTTGATCATTCACCACTGTACCTTACAGCAGAAATTTAGTCATTAATTTGAATACTGAGGAAAGCCAAATTAGAGTATTCAGTACCTCGTAGGGCTAACTGGAGACTGAGTGGTAATGTTTCCTGGTTCCTTACCTACCCTGGTAGTGACTGGAGGAAGTTGTGGGATTTTTTGTTTTTGTTGTTTTGGAGGAAATCATTTTAATGAAGGAGTTTAATCCACCCCTACTTCCTTTTTAAAAGCAATGTCCATTGGAAGGCTTTATTTTGAAGCCAACAATTCATCATAGAATATTTGGTTGTTATTTTAGGATTCTCAGTTTGTCCAAATGCCTTGTTTTCAACTGTTAACTTAAATGTTGCCTATTTGAAACCACCCAGCAGTACTGCAAGAAACACTTGGTGATCTGTTGCCGTTAAGATTACCACAAAGAAAACCCTGTAGAGTAGTACAGTTCTATTCTCAGAATAGAATAGCTCAGAATCAACTTAATGGCTTTGAGTTTCTTTTTTGCTTCCTCATTGTCTTAGGCAAAGTTATTGTATGATGTTGAGTACATTCTGACTTGTAATGACCCCATATAACAAAGTAGAACTACCCCTAAGAATTTCTTAGGCTGAAATATTCCTAAGTCACCAGCTCTTTTTCTCTCTCAAAGCTGCTAGTGGGTTACTACCTCCTGTTTAGCCACTGTGTCCCCACAGCTTCTTGTTTAAGCAGTAATCAGAAATAACAACAAAAATAATCCACCAAACCTATGCCATCAAGTCACAGTGATAACAAACAACAGCTCATTGTTTTAAAATCAGAGACACATAACAGCTGATGCTCCCTCCAGTGTGTTTTCAGAGGCTCTCCTGTTGTTTCAGATGCATCTTGACTGAAAACAGGAATAGCAGAAGGATGTCTGTTTGTGCATTATTGATTATGCAAAGGCATTTGATTGTATGGATCATAACAAGTTGCGAATAACATTGAGAAGATGGGGATCCCAAAATATTCAATTGTACTCAGGTGAAACCTTTACTTAGACCAGGAGGCTGTTGGTTAAACTGAGCAAGGGAACACTGCATGATATAAAAATCACGAAAGGTGTATATCAGTGCTGTATCCTTTTCTCCTTATCTATTAAATCTGTATGCACAGTAAATCACTTGAAAAGCTGGACTTTAGGAAGAAGAATGTGACATCAGAATTGGAAGAAGACTCGTCAACAACTTGCAGTGTGTAAGTGGATGACTTTTCCTGGCAAAAGCAAGGAGGATCTAAGATGGTTATTGCAGAAGGTAAAAGAGTACAGCTTTCAAAATGAATCACATCTCAACATCAAGAAAACAGAAATCCTCACCACTGGGCCAATAGGCAACATCATGAAAGACGGAGAAAAGATTGAAGTGGTTAATGATTTCGTTTTCCTTGAATTCATAATCATACCCTTGGCAACAGCAGTCAAGAAATAAAAAGCATGTTATGTTGGGAAAGTCTGTTGTCAGGGACTTCTCCTAGATACTGAGGAGCAGTAATGTCTTTTTGAAAACTAAGTTGCACTTGACTCCCTATGCATGAGTGAGCTAGACATTGACTGAAGATGACAGTAGAAGAATTGATGCCTTTGAGCTATCGTCTTGTAGAAGAGTACCAAATATCCCATAGTCTTCAAGAGGAACAAACAAACATGTCTTGGAGAAAGTGCTTGTTGGAGGGAAGGATGATAAAATTCCTTCTCACATTCTTTGGGCATTTGGCCATCTGAAGGTGGTCCATGCAAATGGACATCATGCTTGGAAGGGTGAATGAATAAAAGAGAGAAAGACCCTCACCAAGATGGGTGGGTACAGTAGCTGGAGCAATCGGCTTGAGTATAGCAGCAGTGGTGAGGTAAGGCTGGCACAAGATAAGGGAAGATTCCGACCCATTGTTTATGGTATATAGCACTGGTGTGTCCATTTGCTGTACAGAGGTAACTTGTGGTTGCTGTGATGCTAAACACTGTGACACTGATGTGTCAAATGTGATAATGGTTAACCATGGTGGACAGTATTTGGTCGAGCTCCCTGATGAAAACAAGCTTGAAAGCAGGAGTGGCATCCACTTCCAAAATAGTTTGCCTCTGGAAACTCTATGAACTTGGAGAAATGGTAAAAGTTATACAAGTGTTCGGTCTTTCATTCATTGGGTCGTTGTAAGTTGTCAATGACTTGATGGCACTTAACAACAAAAACAACATGATTCATAATCCTTTCAACAGTACATAACAACAACATATTAGGTCATGCCTGCGAAGTTTTGGTCTGTTTTTCATACAGTTGCTATGGGTCATAGCCAACTTGATGACATGTAACAGTAGCAACATAGGACATAGTCTAACTGCCCTAGAAGTGGAAGATGATGAGACTTTGCCTCACATTTCATAAGATTCCAATCTCTAGAAAACGACACCATGTTTGATCTGGTGTGAAAAACTAATGTATTTGAACTTTGAAGGTAAACCAGTACAAAATTTAAAAAAACTTATTTTAAAAGTCATAAAAATAATATTTTCAGCAAAATAAAATGATTTAAAGTGGCTACAGTAATGGGTTTGCACATCAAAGCCATTGTGAGGATAACACAGGAACAGGCAGTCTGTTGTACTTGGAGTTGCTATGAGTTGAAACCGACATTAACAATCTAAGGGAGCAGATCACCACATCTTTTCTCCCACTGAGTAGTCTGTTGGCCTAGTTGGTGGGAAGGTGTATTGCCAACCCAAAGAAGGAAACTTCAAATCCACCAGCTGCTCTGGGAGAGAAACATGGGTGATTTCCTCCCCTGTTAAAGGGTCAACCATGCATCAGTTTTGACTCAACATCAGTGAGTTGTTTGTTGAATAAGAATTGCCTACGAAGTCTGAGGAAATACTCAAGAATAATAAACTAAAATATTTAGGAAAAATATCAAAATTTTAAAGTGTGTTTTAATATATATTAGTGTTATTAATTCTCTAAGTTCGTCACATGAAAATATTCCACAGAAAAGTATTTGCATTCCTTTCTAGTTCCCCAGAACAGCATTTCTAAATCTGTGGCAATTTTAGAAATTAGTACATGTGATACATGGGGGGAAAAATCATAGATCATATGTTATTCCCCTTCTTTTATTCCTTTCTTTCTTTTTGTAATTTGATCTCAGTGAACATTGTTGTGACCTATTATATAGTAAGACACGGTTTCTTAGTGAAAGAGAGGAATACCCTCAACAAGATGGAATGACACAGTAACTGTAACAGTGGACTCCAGCATATCAGAGATTGTGAGGATGGCACAGGGCAAGACAAGGTTCAGATGTGTTCATAGGGTTGCTATGAGTTGTCAACTCAACAGCATCCATCGACATCAACAACAGTCAGGATATGGGCATTTCAGGCATTGGGGGATTATAGGATAAAGAAAACTATGTTGTTGAAGACTTTATAATTTAAGAGAGGAAACTGATACATAAGCAGATGGTTTCAGTATAAAAGACAAATATGCTTGTTTGTGCTGAATGCTGTGTGGATGCAGAAGACACAGGCAACCTGGGGCTCAGGGGGAGTCTTCTGATTATTGTTATTGTTGAGTACCATCGAGTTGGAACCAACCCTCCAGTGAGTTTTCAGAGGCAGTTAATCACATGGGAGGAGATTGCCCATGCTTCTCTCTCAGAGCAGCTGGTGGATTTGAACTGCTTGCCTTCAGAATTACAGTGTCGTTTCTTACCGTTAGGCCACCTGACTCTCTTTCTGATTGTAGAAATAATAATAACAGCAGTGGCGGCAGCAGCAGCAGCAGCAGCAGCAGCAGCAATAACCCTAACCTCCACACATAATTCCAGAGAAATTTTTTTATTTTGCAGGTCCTTGATACAGTGAAAGCTCCGAGAGCAATCAACAGAAATGCCTTCTTCTTTTTCCAGATTTTGTGAACTTTTTCCATCGTACAAAGTGAAGAAGCCTACTACTTTTCTGTCATTCTCTATAGTGGAAAATATTTGCATTGTCCTTCCGTGACAGGCTTGCACCTTGCAAGGCTTCCAGCTTTCACCGATTTTATTATATATGCACTGCACAAACTTGAACATTTTTAATCCTCAAAGATCTGTGAGGTAGTTGTTCTTACAAGTTTTGAATAGATATATAATGGCAGAATGTGGCCCTTTTCCACAAGGTGCCTTTTATCTAACTTTGACAGGTAAATTTTAAATTATGAAGGAGCTATGCGACCTAGTGGTAAGGAGCTGTGCTGCCGTACCAGAGGCACAAAGCTCAAATGCACCAACCTCTCTGCGGGAAAAAGATGGGCAGTCTCTTCCCGTGGGATTAAAATACCTCTAAAAACCCATGGTAGGGTCAGCTATGAGTCATTTCCCACTCAATGGTACACAACAACAATTGCCTTAAATTGTTTAAAATACTCGAGCTGAAAATGAATTGATTGATATTTTAATTAGAGTTGTCTTAGTCATTTCAACTCTAATTGTTTATTAAACTGTAAATGAAAACATAACCTGAATTCAAAGATAGGACATACAATGCTAATCAAAGTGATTTAAAAGAATATTTTACTTGAACATATTTTGTTTTGTATTTCAGAGCCTTTTGAATGGACTTATGTGTTCCAAACCTGAAGACCCAGTGGAGTACTTAGAAAGTTGTTTACAGAAAGTCAAGGAACTTGGAGGTTGTGACAAGGTGAAATGGGATACTTTTGTCAGCCAGGAGAAGAAGACCTTACCTCCACTCAATGGAGGGCAGTCACGGAGATCCTTTCTAAGAAATGGTAATGTATATGTGAAATAGTAGACAGTTTTATAGTGAAAGCAGCTCTTTTTCAAATATGCTCTATCTTTAGACGATTCTTTGGAGAGGGACCTGATGCTCAGAAAGGCAGAGAGCCGTGAAGGAGTAGAAGCCACTCGACCCAGTATACTGACACGGTGACTGCCACAATGGGCTCTAATGTGTCAGGAAGTGTGAGAATGGAACAGGATAGGACAAGGGTTCAGATCTGTTGTTCATAGGGTTGCTATTGGTAGTACTCTACTCAATAGCACCTAACAGCAACATGGACATATTATGATTTAATTCATAATATATTTGACCCTGAAGTGTGATTCATCTCATTGCTACTTTCTAATCATCTCTATGATAAGACAAAATTACATGCCATTGTCCAGCAATTCACCAAAGAAATTTTATAATACCATATTCATTATTTTACAGAATGAATTACATTACAAATGATAAGGTTTTTCTTTTGCAAATAAGATCTTTCCAGATAAATGAATAGGATACAGATAAAATTGGTAGTAATTACTTGGCAATTCAGAAATTCTCATTAGTTAGAATGAGATTTGCCTTATTAATATGTTCCCAAATTCAGATTTCATAGTAATACATCCACACAAATGCATATAAAGTTCCCTCTAGCTAATTCAGCGGTATTTATTAAGCAATTATTGAATGCAGTACATTAAATTAAGCATTTGGATGCCACAGAAGAGCAAAAAGACATAAATTTAACTTTCTAGGAGTCTATAACAAAGACATGAAATTTATTAGATTCTTTGTTTTATGATCTTGTTTTTGAAATGTGTGTTTCTCAAAATTATTAGCTCATCTTGGGCTGAGCAAGCTTTTCAAGTACTGGATGAAGTTGTGAGCTATGATGTAATGTTGTAGATTGCCTTCGAGTCGAGCACTACTTATAGCAAGCCTATGAACAAAAGGTCTAAAGTCTTTTTATAACTATTGACTTTTATCAAAGTTCATGTTTCCAGAGGCATGTTGTTTAGGAAGTAGATGCCATTCCTTCTTCCAAACCTGCCTTAAATTGGGAGCTCCACCAAACACTGTCTATCAGGAGTTAACTGTGTTAGCATTTGACACCCCAATGGCACAAAGTTCAGCATCACAGCTACCCCAGGTTACCTCAGTACAGCAAATTGACAGAAGAGTGCTGTACCACTTAGAAGAATGTGTAGTACGTACAAAAAGAAAGCAAGTGTATATTAATTCTATTCTAATGACTATGATCATATTTGCAAAACCATTCTAAAAAATAATACCATTAAAAGTCTTAGCTGTACAGGCAGAATGTGAAGACAATTATATTTACAATACATGTAAGGAAGAAATACATCTTAGTTTCAGCCTGTTTTTTTTTTCTCTTAGTCATGACCCACTTAGATTTTAGTTAAATGCAGTGTAGAGAAAAAGTCACAATGTGTCAGTCTTTAAGAAATATAAACAGAAAAAAACCCCAGAAGAAATATTTCCCCAAACATCTCCAGAGGAGGAGGCTCCTTCCCAGTACATGCAGAAGCCACATCAGGTGATTAGGTTTGGTGCTCAGATATCTTGTCAGAAGTTGAAATGATCCTACTACCACCAGCACCACATTCCCAAATACTGATGAGAAGCAACTTAGATGTTTGACATTTCCATTTAAAACTACTAAATGTTCAAATATTGTAACCAAGCAAAACAGAGACAGCAAAACATGAGGTAATAAGATTAGCTTTTCAAGTCTTAGAGAGCAGTTGATCTTATTACTGTGTAGAGTCTCTTACTCCAATCCTTCTTACATAAAACATTGTCATTTGATACAAAATAAGTCATCACCTTCTGTGCTAAATCCTAAGGTTATGTCCACATATACTTACACAATTGGATTTGTACAAATGTTTAGATTTGAGGTCCAGCACTAGAGAGATTTACACTATTTGCACACAGTCTATTCACATACTTGGTTTTGGTTAACATCAGACTAGAATTTCATATTTAAATTTTCACTCTTTATAAATAGTTCATGGAACACAGAGGGAGCAGAATTGGAGTTTAGGGCTTCAGTGGAAACTGGCTGCAGGTTGACTTGGCACTTCTCAGGGCTGCAGGTTCTCACCAGAGTCCCATTTAGCTACCACTGCAGGGCCACTTAGTAAATCACTATTTCAATAAGCAAAATATTTTCTAGTAGGCTTGAAGAGTTTGCACAGCTTCCCAGAATGACTAATTTACTTCCCAGGGTGTCGACACACTGTTAGAACCTGGCTCAACATAAAATATATGCTCTATGACTTTGTTAAATAAAATGAGATAAATAAGGGGAACTCATTTCTAAGTGTTAAAATTCTCATGAATTTCAGGTATTGATGTTTTGCATCTGCTATACTTTTACACTTTTGTGTTAAGTCTAAGCCTATGACATTGTGTTCATTGAAAAGTTACTCTCCTATGGAATTTCAAATTAACTGTTGAGCAACAAAATGAAACCATAATGTTTCTATTTATATTGTTATTTAGGTTGATTATAGATAGAATCCATTCAAACTAGGTATATAATAAATGCAAGGGCCAAACTAGAGAACATATTTTTCGTCTAAGGCAGGCAAGTTAAAATCTTTTTAAAAGGCAAAGCCAAGCCTAACATATCGTTGAGGTCTTATTGGACCCATAGATTACTTGTTTGGAATTCCAGACTGAACGGTATAAGCTAGGACATGAATGATAAATTTAGCTTTAGTTTTCATTAAAATTAAATTGCTTTTCAATTTTCAGTTCCCTACACCTTCTAATATTTGTCCAGAGCTCTCATTGAAAGATCTTTTAAGTAATCATCAATAAAGCCTTTCTTTATGCTATGGTTAAAAGAGAATTAAGCCACACTACCATAATCTAGAACATATGCTGACAGATAAAGGGGTTTGCAAGCTCATTTTCCTTGTAGTAATAATTATAAAATGTTTTATCCATTTGTGTTTGTAGGATTTATATACTTATTATGGGACAAGTGATTAAATTAAACAATATTTCTAAATGCTCTGTAACTCAGAACATGTAACAGATATCACCATGAGAGTTCCTTAAAAAATGTAATAAAAGCAAGAATAATTTCTCAATCCATTCCACTATGGTTGGACATCTGGACTATTTCCATGTTCTTGTGATGGTGGATAACGCTGCTATGAACATGGGTGTACAAGTCTCCATTGGAGCCTCAGTTCTCATTTTCTCAGAGTATATTCTAATTTTCTCAGTGTATATTCCAAGCAGTGAATAGCTGGGTCATATGGAATTTCTATTTTCAGCTTTTTGAGGAAGCGCCAAACTGCTTTCTAGAATGGTTGTACCATTGTACAATCCAACAAACAGTGTATAACAATTCCTATCTCACCACATCCTCTCCAACATTTATTACTTGCTGTCCTGTTAAACTTTGCCACTGCAACTGGAGTCATATGGTATCCCATTGTGGTTTTGATTTGCATCTCTCTCATTGCCAGTGATTTGAAGCATTTCTTCATGTATCTGTTGGCTATTAGAATATCTTCCTCTATGAAAAATTTTTCCATGTCTTTTGCCCATTTTGTAATTATTAGACTTTTTTCTTGTGGAGGCCCAGGAGTATTCTGTAAACTTTAATTATGAGATTCTGGTCTGAGCTGATATTGCCAAATATTTTTTCGCAGTCAGTAGGTTTTCTTTTCACCCTGTTGGAAAAAGGTTTTGATGTACACAATTATGGTACATTTACACAATGGAATACTAAGCAGCACATAAGAACAATAATTTTGTAAATTATTACCTAACTTGGGAGGGACTCGAGAACATAATGCTGAGTGAACTAATTCAGTTCCATAAGGACAAACATTGTGTAAAATCATTAGTATAGAATGAATATTAGGATCCAAAGGAGGGGGGAAGGGGGAAAGCAGAGAGGAGAGAATGTGTGTGGGGTCACACAAATTGATGGGTGAGAGAGTAAGGGAAATGAGAAGGAACTGGTGTGAAAAACAATATATTCAAATTTTGTAAATAAACTAATATAATTTAAAAAGCAAAAATGAGTGATTTTTTGGCAAATTTTATAAGATTTCACTATAAATGCAAGATCAACTTTTCCTTTTTTTCCTGCCATATTTAAACAATTGAGCAAATGCTTACCTGTGAAATAAGAGATTTAGTTCCTATCTCCAAATACCCATAGGGCTTCTCTTTTGGAATGTGTTGTCTCCTTTATTCATTGTCTAACTTTCACATGCATATAAAAAAACTGAAAATACTGTGTTTGCGCCAGGCATACTTTAGTCTTTCAAGTGACATCCTTGCTCTTTATCACTTTAAAGATGTTCTTGACAGAAGATTTGTCCAACACAGTATGTCTTTTGATTTCATGACTGTTGCTTCCATGATGTTGGCTATGGATCCAAGTAGAATGAAATTCTTAACAGCGTTTATCTTTTTTTCTCTGGTTAGCATGAGGTGGTTTATTGGTACAATTGTGACGATACAGGGTAAATAAACACAAATAAGAATAAAAAATGGATGTCTTTCAGTCATTCATTCAAGTTGTTGTTAGGTGCAGTCAAGTAAACTACATATTCATAGCAACCTTATAAACAATAGATCTGAATCTTGCCCTATCCTGTGCCATCCTCACAATCTCAGTCAATGGCTAAGTCCATTGTTATAGTCTCTGCATCAGTCTTTCTCATTGAAAGTCTTCTTCTCTTTCATGTACCTTGTACCTTTTCCAGCATGATGTCTCTCTCCAAATACTAGTGCCCCCTGACAACATGCTCAAAATATGAAAGACCAAATTTCACCGTCTTTGCCTCTAAGGAGGGAGCTGTGGTGTCCTAAAGCACTTTGCTTCAATTTCCTCCAAGACAGATTTTTTTTTTGTTTTGTTACAGTGTGTAATATATTCTGTAGTCTTCTCCAACACCACAATTCAAAGCCATCGACTCTTCAGCCATCCTTATTCATTGTCCAACT